ATCGCTTTTTGCAGGCCCGTACACCAAGATGACGCTGGGCTAAGCTGTCTTTTTTTGTTTGGTTTTTTAATGTCTCTTGGGAAATCAAGACTTCCTATGTGTTATGACTATCATGAAAGGGAGCTGTGTTATGAAAACACAATAGATGAGAAGTTATTTGACTACTTCAGCTGAATATTTCCAGACAGCTCTCTTAAGTCACAGTTGTTTGTTACAGGTCAGATATTTTTCCTTATTGAAGGGCTCTATGAGAAATCTGAAAGCAACTTAAATGTTACTGCAATATTGATATATCATTTACATGTATCGTTTGTAGCAAACAAGTAATTCTGACTCAAATGGAGTGTTACTTCTGGAAAACATTATTTGTCAATTTAGTATGGTAATGTGGGAAGTTTATTCCTGCATGAAAAAATAAATTAAATCCTTTGTGCCAAATGCATTTAGCTATTTTTCAGGCTTCGTGATACCAACCAAAATTGAGAACTATTTATGTGAGAGTAAAGAAACCTGTATAACAAGTATCCCATTGTTTTACTAGACAGAGAATCAAGAATTTATAGCAACGTAAGGCATGAATTATGTATCACTTACAGTTTATGTAGTGGTGATTTTGGAGATAGAGGTTTTCTATTATTAAGTGTAAATAGGATACCAGTGGTATTTTTTTTCATGTGGACAAAAGCCTTCACTATGAATTCTCACCTGAAAGGGCAGGTTTAAATCTGAATTAACATGAAAGGAATTAACAGTGTTTCATTTTAACTTTAAAGTAACTTCTGGTTGAGGAAAGAAGTTCGCAACATATAAGGAGTAGCACTACTTCATGCCTGTATTCCCCCACAAAAAAATCTCACAAAACTGTCCTGAAAACCAGTGACTTTGGCACTGTACAGTAAGATTATAATTTATCAAAAACCTCTCAAGTTGCTACTTTCACCGATCTAAACTGCAGTATGTATTTCAGGGGCAACTTTAACTTAATTTTCCAATTCTACCCTCAACTAGTGCGGCTACAAAACATTACATGTTTAACATCTTGAAAACTCTCCAAATATGTAAATTCAATAGGGTAAAAGGTTGAAGGACTCCATTTGTTAAAGTACAGTCATGATCTTGCATGTCCGATTCTCCTCCCTTGGAGCGTGGGAGGAAAATCCTGTATTCGGTAAACATAGAACAGTAACATGGCAATGACAGAGAGAAGCAGCTTTTTCTTTTCTCCTTTTTTTATCTCTGTGACCTTTCTCCCATAGAAGATTGCACCACAACCTATGTTTTAGATGTAACGTACTCAAAGCTTTATTTCATTACATGTAACACTTGTTAGAACTTGGAAGTGATAAAAGCTCACTGTTTTTTTCCCTGTGCTGCCCTTCTGATGACACTCAAACAAGCTTCATAGGCAGCTGATAATAATCACAACATCTACTGTGTGCTCTTTGCTTGTTCCTCCAGTCGTTGTGCAGCACATGGAGTTCACAGCATTGGGAATTTCCCATAAAATTGCCACGTAATAAGCTACATTTAAAAAGAAATCCAACTCCAATCCAGTCTATTTGTCAAAACCTCCTTCACAGTTGAACTTTTCCCACGGAAAAACTACCTAATGCCCTTCTTGCTAATTGCAAATCTTTGGTCTGTCTTTAAAGACCCAGTATAATGTTTTAATTTCCAAATCCACTCAACCTTAAAATAATGAGTTCCTGCTAGTTTTCTTTTATTCAGTTGTTGAAATGAAGTTCACACCACAGCCTCCACCCTTTGTTTTCAACCAAAAAACCCTATTTCTCAGTAGTATCTACACATCAATACTGTGCTTTTATCAACTTTGCAGTAGTTGTTACTCTCTTACCGTGTATCATTTGAGACTTAACAAAATAAATAAATTAGGGACACAACACATGGACTGCAAAGTTGACTTTCCTGCCCCATTAATTTCCTTGTCCACTTTATCTATCAGGTAAACCAGGGCAGGTATTCTAGGCAGGTGTTGGGAAACCCCTTTCAATGGGAAAAGGAAAAACAAGAAAGGGTGAAAAAACCCCAAATAGCCACTGCTGCAACTTGTGCCTGTGAAATATGATGCACAGTAATAAAATGCGGATAGAAGCAACCAATTTTCCACACTTACTACTGTTAAGAAATACCTTTTAGATGTCATGTTCAACACAGCTGTTGAGTGTAGCGGCACAGTGAATCTGGATGGTGAATCATCCTTTCTTCAGCCTCAAAACCAAAAAGGAATTCCATGTCTTGTGGAACAGAGTTCTGATCCTTCCAGATGCACAGACTACTTAATGCTGGAGACCCATTGGAGACTTCTTCAGCACGTTAGACATACTCTTCAGCACTCTTAGACATACATGGGATGAAAACCCATGACCTAGCAGGACTTCTGCCATTGCTTGCAGTTAGTGAAGAATCGGGAATTTTTTATGGCTTAATCAGTGGTTCAGTTTAAAATTTGAACCATCAGATACAGGACTTGCTTACTACATAAAAAGGAGTAATATGGGACACCTGAAGTCTTCAAAATGCCCTCTTTAAGGCTGTTAAGGAACACCACCCTCTTTTAGTAGTTGGTCATTTCTGAGAATTGAGCATACTTGTAATTCTGAGGAGCCCAAATATAGCCAAACACTTCACATCTATGAAACTCTTCAGAACTATGAACCCCCCCCCAACCTTTAATTTTACACATGCAGTTTCACAACCTATTATCCAAACACTAATTATACTAGTGATTTGCTCACCACATAGCGATGAAAACCGTGATTCTCCATGAATACTTGATCGGAGAAGCCATAAATCAACAGAAACACAGGTTTAAAAATTTTCAATGTTGAAATTTATTTCGAACTCAGGGGTTAAGTGTAGTAAGTTTCCAATCGTCTGATAATAGCACACCCATGTCGCTATCGCGGAAATTGCACTAATTCCCTCTGCCCCCCCTCCCCCTTAGAAATCTGGTTAGTTTTAACATCCGGTGGTTTTGCAAATAGTGTGGCTCTAGGACACTACTGCATTTCCTGAGTGTTCAAAGCTACTGTATTATACATTAAGCTGAAGGAAAAACAATGAAGTTATTATGCAGAACTAAACCAGCTATTTTATGTTGCTGCTGAAGTACGGAATCATAAAATGCAATTATTTTAACAGGAGATACGTTTTGGAATGCTTAAAAAGGGGGAAAGAAAAAGAAAGGAAAACCCAATTTTTTTTTTAAAAAAAGACATCCTTTTTACTTCAAACTAAATAGTTTTAAACTCCAAGTCATTAACATCAAAACTTAAAAATGGCCAAAGAACTTAGGATTTGCTCAGACTGAAATGTAGTTGGGACTAAAATATCCATGTTGGTATTCCTTGACCTTTTAGGGTATTCCTAGTGGCTCTAACAAACACAGTATAACAGGGTATCTCTGGTTTGTGTTTATCTTTTTGGTGCTCTTGAAAATGAGTTACTAACAGCACTGACCAGAGTGCTTAAACACAGGATTTCAGACTATCGCTTTGCAACGCACTTCAGCTTTATTGTGCAAAACCAATTTAGTCATGAACACCCCCACATTAAACACAATAAATTGTGCCAAGTATGCGATGTGAATGTCAGCTAATCTAGCAACACATTGACAAATGTCAGCTTGTCTATCCAAGCGTTGTTCAAGCCCAGAGTAAAATTTCATTTGTCACAACTGAACTCCCCCATGGGCAGACTGCATAGTCTATGTAAGTTACTGGGTTTTGTCCAGAAAAATCTCTTCACAGCTGTATTTACATTGGCAAACAGGTTTAGAGGAGAGTTTCAGCCCTCTAAATTCACCATGAGTTAATACATCAATAAAGAGGTCCCACCATCTGTCAGTGGGATTTTTCCGTGAAAGACCACAACCACTTCTTGATCAAAACAAAGCTAAAGCAGTGGCAGCTGATGGAAATGCTTAACTACTTTGTTCTGGCATCATTTTTTATGATGCATTAGACTTATTCTCATTTACAGGTGATTTTGGCAGAAGAGTTCTTCAGGCTGCAGCTGAACAAAAAGAAACTTCTCATCTTATTTTTTTATTTCTTATGGAAATTTGTTTTGAATAAAGAGCTGATACCAGCAGGAACTACCAAGCGGTGATGTGTTCCACTCTAGTATTATGTCAATGGCTTGCCAATCCTTTTCCCCTAAAATATTTGTAAAAACATTGGAAATACCTATGAAATTTATAAAACAGCTCCTTAAACATCTGCTTAATGCCCTTTCCTTCAAATATAAAAGACCTACACATTTCAGGGTCTTTTTCTGTGGGTACAAGAGAGGTCAAGGAAGAGGTAAAAGATAGGATAACTATCTTTTCAGTCGCTATGTTACAAAATTTAAATGACTACTACTCTAAAGATTAAATACAGACTTTACATAACCAATCACAACAATGGAAATAAACCATAACTGAAACCATATCAAATCCTCATCAGGTCAAGTGACAGTACATTAATAATAGCCTTATAGGTTATACAGAAGATAATATACACAGAATCTAAGTTATTTTTCCCCTTAAAAGCCACTGTCAGTAGGATCACAGTCTTACTGTTCAGGCAAGTGACTTGAATATTAGTAAATATTAATGGGGAAAATTAAAGTTATAAAAAAAAAATAATGTATCAAGTACACCTTTAGACATGTCTATACTATGATTTAAATAAAAAGCCTTAAGCATTCTCCTACACACTCCACTTTCAACCTAAATGGAATATCACTGTCAGTACACAAACCTCGGAGGGCACTGCTAATCTAGTTACTATAACTATACTAAAGCTATCTTACAAAGGAGATTAAGTTCAGATGTTTAGAAACCTTAACAATAAGAGAAAGTTAGAAACCCTAAGCAGCTACTCATATTTAACTATAATTACATTTTAGAGAGCATTTGACTAAACTCCAGTATTTTCTATGGTCATTTATTAAACAAAAGTTCTACCACACCTAAAGGATAAGGCATAGCCATCTACTAATTGGCATATTTGTTTATTTGTCTCAGTTTGTGAAAAGTTCCTTATTTGTGTAAGCAGCAAAACAAATTTCAACTGAATGATTGCTATATGCGAAAGGACTGAAGGCAACTGCCTCTGCAGTGAACTTTACAGTTCTCAACAGCACACACGCAACATGCTATCTGAAAAAAGTTACTAACTGAACTACATGTATTAAATACTGAAAAAAGTTTTACATTTTTTATTATAATTTATTTTATTTAACAATCTAAGAAGTTTGCAGCCATCAGAAGTTCCAGTGCAATTTCAGGTGCAATTGGGAATTCAGGAATCTCCGTAGAGCTGTTAGTATAGCGGACCTTGTAGGTGAAATACATGCATACTTTGGATAGGACATGGGATGGGATCTCTCTAAAATTCACCTCATTTGTTTCATTTTCTGCAAACTGTCCTGTAGGAAAAATAAAGAACAAAACACCAAACCAAAAGTCAGACTCTCAATTCACTGCAAAATGAAATGCTTTACCACGCAAATAGAAGACATTGTAAATAGGCTTGTGTTAGTCCCATATTCCTAGGTCTTCAGTACAAAGCAGGATGTGCCACATTTACAAACCCTCAAGAATATTAAGATCCCCTGCATTACAAAACCTTTATTTTGGCTGCAGCCTGTTAACAATATTCTGAACAACTACACCAGAAATTTAGGTTTAATTCTGATGCTTGCTTGGCAAGTACTCTAAAACTGTACCGCGTTCAGTTCCAAAGGTCACAGTAACAATATTACAATCCAAATTTCTAGCAAGGAAAAAAAAGCCTATATGTTCTGTATCTGCATATGCACATTTATCAGTAGTCCCTTGTATGATCCCAGTAGCTTTGAATTTTCCAGTTTCAGGCAGATTTGACAGAGGGTTGAAACCTCAAAGACGCATTAACTTGCTAAGCTGTGAAAGCAGGCAGCAGGAGGGACAGGGAAAGCCTAGCTGTACTGGAGGAAAGGTTACAGATGTGTTTATCGCTATTAGATATTGAAGAATTTATCCGAAGCTCAAATCTCAAAACACAAGTAGATTTGAAATTAGCTTTCTGTAGTGTCTAAATGCATGAAACTTGGATGATATGAAGTCATCCTGTGGTTAGTCCCACAGCCTTTCTACTGTTACCTTTGTCCCTCTTTTCCTCACCTCTCTGGCCTTTCAACTCATTAAGCTGAAAGACAGTACAGACACCACTAACATGTACTCTGTATTTACGGGAGACCTAGCAAAGTTTGCTTCCCACTATTTCTATAGGAATCCCCTTCAAACTACAAGGCAGAGCTATTTACTAATGTCTACGCACATTTGTGCAGAAATATCTGCATGCACTGAAGCCAATCTGGCTGGAATTCTAGTACAGGAACAGCAGGAAGCAACAGAAGAAATGTTAGTGTATTGGCAATGTCACAGTACTGAGATAGAGAACACTTACACATCAGTCAAATTATGACCTACTGAACTAGACAGCAAGAGTACTTTTCCTTGTGAACCCATTTATCTTGCTTGGTTTTATACAAAATATTCTTGAATACAGATTCCTTTACAGAGTCAGTTTTCTGGCCCTCTAAACAGCCTACTTTGCCTTTTATTCCTTCACATTGTTTGTGGAACAAATTCAGGCCTTGTAACTACTTGTCCTTTTGAATGTCTGGGAGCCTGACACAGAGTGGATCAAACAGGATAATGTATTTTCAAATGCAATCGTAACAGTAACATTTAGCAGAACATTAAGATGAGAATCTTAATTGCTCAGTTTGCCCAACTATCACTATGTAATTTAAATCTGTATTAAGCAAATAGATCTCTCCAGTGATCCCCATCACCAGAATCTGAAGAGACTATAAGAATGACCATAGTCAGACCAGAGCTCCACATAGCCTACTGCCCACCACTCAAGCGGCCAAAGGAAAATGTAGGGGATGACAGTACAGAAGAGGGAAAGCACCTGTGTCAACTTCTCCCTTTTTAATCCTCCACCCTTTTGGTTTTCATGGATTAGTTCAGACACATAAACCAGAGGGAGTCTTATAAATGGAGTTACATGAGGTCCTTCCCAGCTGCAAGTTTATCTACCCTCCTCTTAAGCTAACTTTTGTCATTAAGCATAGGAACTCCTTGCCATAGGATCTCATGACTATATTGTGGCCCAAACCCCAGCAAATGGCTAAGCACCACACAACCACTTGCTCACTTCCTCCTGCAGTAGACAAGCAAAGAGGAAAGGAAGAGTGAAAGCAAGAAAAGTCATGGGTCGAGATAAAGAATTGTTTAATAAGCAAAAGACAAGTGGAAGAAAAGAAACAAAACAACTGATGCAAAGGTAATCACTCACCACCTCCCATGGGTAGACTGATACGCATTCAGTTCCCAAACAAAAAATGGCTAAATAGCTAACCTCCTTAACTCCCTCCTCTCCCTTTTTACTTCATGACGTTATACAGCATGCAATATCCCTTTGGTTAGTTTGAGTCATCTGACTGGTGGTGTTCCCTTCCAACCCCTTGCACAACACCCCCATCTATTCATGAGGGAGGGAAGAGTGAGAAACAGAGAAGGCCTTGACACTGTGCAAACCCTTCAATAGCTAAAAACATTGGTGTGTTATCAGCCTTGTTTTGGTCACAAATCTAGACCACACGATCATATGACCTGCTATGAAGAAAATTAACTCCATACCAGCCAGACCCAGTACAGAATACTAAAAGCTCTGCCTTGGAGGTGGCAATGAAGAGCTATCAACTCCTGTTTGTTTAGAACTTGATGCTACACATTTCATGTAATACCCTCAAGTTCTCATACCATGGGAAACCTAGTAGTAATGATACTGTAAGGTCCCTAACTGTCCAAAAGCAGAGAGGGTCTAATTATATGGCTGGTAGTACCATAACCCACAGAGATGGAATGTTCCACTGGAAACAGGAACTAGGTGGGATCTGGAAAAGTTACCACTTATTCTGACTTTCACGTGCTGCATGATATAAATTCAAACCTGTCCAAAAGTGAGAACAAACAACATGAAGGTACTGTATCTTTTGTACCTACCCGGTCCACTCAACATAGCTTTTATTGTTCCTGATGTTAATGCATGCTCTCTTTTTACAATGAACTCATGGCCGTCGGAGGATATTAACTTCACATACATAGCATCTGGGCCCTCACACCCACCGTATGTTTTCTCTTCTCCATCTATAATGGAAAACAGATTAACAGTTTCAGAACACAATGAGTGATTCATATCACTAAGTATGCAAACTGCAGTCTTCTCTGTGTTTACAGACCAAAGAACCCAATATAACCAGAAACAAGACATAAGCATTTTGGCTATTTGAAAATGACTTCTCTGAATCACTCAGCAGTTTGTTTTAAAGTAAGAACTTATGAAAAAGTAGGAAATTTCTGCTAACTCTCTTCTCTCTCATTTCTCCATCACTAAATTCTGACATGACTTCTAAAATCTAGGTAGGGATGAAATTTTCCTTCAGACGTTGTAAGGTGAATTGAAAATGTTACTGCTTCCCTCCATGAGGCTACTGCTGTATTTATCATACTAGTACTTACTAAAAGTTACCTGAATACACATCTAATATTTAAAAATACAGACTGCAAGGGGTGGGACATGACAAAAAAAACCAAAACAAAACGCCACCACCCAAAAACAAAACAAACGAAAAAAAAAAAAGTGGTTTTTGAAGTACAGGTAAGAATAGAAGCAGTCAGTATTCCTGTACTGAAGAAATGACATGAAATAAGATTCATCCTCCCCCACTGCCCAGCCAAACCAAGCACCATGCAGTGCACACCCATGTCATGACCTTTGTTGGAAACAGGGAAAGCGCAAAAGCAGTAAACCCAGGGCAGTTTGGAAATTCTCCCCACAGCAGTTTTGACTGTGCTTTTTCCATTCCCCTTCTTCCTTCTGTCTCGCTACATACCTACCCCTCTGTTTCTCTGGAAGCCCTTATCCCCCTTCCCTTTTTGCTCCTTTATTTATTCTCTCCTAACAGCGCTCTCTTTAAAAGTTGAAAAAACGACATGTCTGTTGCCACCACTGCACTGTTCACTCTATGCAGGCTGAACAGTTGCTTCATCTTGCACCTGTCTTGTCTATTCAGGCAGGAGGTAGGAACCACTGACTGCATTGTGCCTGTACAGTGCTTTACACTCTAGGACACCATCGCACTAAGAAGACCTGACTCTGTAGTTGGCCTTTACATATTCCTGTAAACTCTTCAGGAATAAAGACTGCAGTAATATTAAAATATTTTTGAAAAAATGAGTGTAAACCCCCACCCCACTAAATGTACAATTCTATCAAATTCAAACTGAAAAGTTAATGCCTCCTTTCAAACACTGTGTTTTCTAAGGGACTAATATAGCAAGTATTGCCAGAATACCATTAAAAGTACTTGAACTTGACACTGCACAAAATTTGATTTTCAGAACAGTATTATCTTGACAAAAAGTTAAAAGTGAAAGTCCTGGAAGTTCTTCCAGCATGGGAAAGCGTAACAGAAGAGATCTGTACACTTCTAGAAAATTAATACACTGCCAGTATTTCATGATTGCAAGTGGAAGTACGGGAGACGAAACAGATATAGACTACCAACTTGACATTTGTTAGTGTTGTTTTTCCTTCTGACAAAACAAGGAATAGGAATTAATTATATTAAAGCACCTTGCATTGTATCTAGTCTTACAGCAAATACAAAATTCTCCCAATCAATAAAACTGCTTTGTGAATTTGAAGTAAAAACTGAATTACCATGTAGTTATTGCTAGTTTTAATAAAGTATTGCCAGTGCCAAACATGCCAAACATTCAGGAAAAGTATAGATAAAACTATAATCTTTCCAATCATGTTTCATTAAGTGGTCATTTGTAGAGGCAGACATAACAGTTTCGGAGATTTAGTCACATCACACACAACATAATTTACCAGACATCAGTCCTTGTTATGATCTCTTTGCCAGAACTCAACAGGCTGACCTCAGTTAACAAACAGAAAAATTTAAAACAGCACAAAGTGAAATTTTCTTGCCTGCTATGTACAAGGTTAGCACTACAAAAGCCTAAAGGCATCCTGGTTTAGCATGCAAATTTTCAGCACTATGTATATTAAACAAGTGAAATCTATTGTTAGGTAGATGAATTCTGAACAGGTCTTTCGGCAAATGAACAGTCACTTGAGAATATCTTCCTAAAAACATCTGTAGGACGTTCCATTAACTTTTGAGGCTACAAGAAAACCAGTGTAAGATCAATGTTTAAAGTCTTACAATCCACCTCCTCTACCCAACCTCTGAGATGATGAACTTACCCATTTTCTTCTTATTAAATTTATTTTTTTCTTTTCAACTGCAGCTTTTGTAATAGGAGCGTCTGAAAAAAAAAAAACCAAACCACAAGTGGCAACATCTTCAGTGAGTAATACAATTTCATAAGTCATCTTTAGTTATTAGCCTGAATGCTACCATGAACACTCCGCAGAAAAGAATCTCATGATACACAGCATGCAATGTTGACGAACATTACGTTTTGAAAACATTATGCTTTGAAACTTATTTTTGCTATCAAGAGATCACTACCGTATTCAAGATGCTGGAGAAAGGGGCCAACAGGAAAACTACGGAGTTCATCAAAGGGAAATGCAAATGCCTGTACCTTGGGAAGAATTACCCCAGGCACCAGTACTGTCTGGGGGTCAAGAAGCTGGAAAGCAGCTTTGCAGAAAGAGACCTGGGGGTGTTGATGGACACCAAGTTGAACATGAACCAGGAATGCGCCTTTGCAGCAGAGGTGGCCAACAGCAGCCTGGGCTGTATCAGGAGAAGTGTTGCCAGTAGGTTGAGGCAGGTGATCCTGCCCCTCTATTCAGCACTGGTGGGACACATTTGGAGTGCTGGGTTCAGCTCTGGGCTCCCCAGTACATGCCAGGCTGAACTGAGTCCTGTAAATGCCACAAAGATGACCAAGGGATGGGAGCACCTGTCATATGAGGAGAGGCTGAGAGAACTGCAGTTTAGGCTGGAGAAGGGTGACAGATGAATCTAATCATTGTACACTAAATACCTGGCCTCCAACTTATCCTTTCCAGAAGATTGACAGTTCCCGATACAGCCACCAATGTCACCTAGATAATCGATTTCAGACATTTAATGTAGGTATTTACATGGTAAGTGAACCAGGGGCTTCCACAGATTATAAATATTGATGTCCAGCTTCCTACAAATTTTGCCAGGTAAACGGATCCAAAGAGTTAAAGAAATAGAAGCATTTATAAGCAAAACAAATCTGGTATATTCAGTTACAACATGTATTTCTTTACTGTGAACTAACTGTATCTCTGCTGTGGAAAAGAAAACTTTTGGAAGAGAAATTCCACTCACTCACCTGCTATCCTGAAATTCCTTTCACATCAACAGCTACTCTCCAAATATTAACCCAGTACAAATCAATGAACTACTGTTCTGTGCCCACAGGTTCAGGAAAACAGCATCAGTGATTCTGGGTGGTTTCTCAGCTGATACCCAGGGTCTCAGAAGGCAGCAAAGAGACTGGTACGAACTCTGACAATCCGTGCTCTTGCTTTGAAAAGCAACTAGTGACAATAGAGGCATGAACTGTGATTACTCACTAGAAAAGGACCCCAGGTGTGAAAACCAGAATATAGACCACTACTCACATCTCTTCCCTCCAATGTTTCTGGTAAAAGCTTAGCAAAAAATGAAAGCAAGTTGAGGAGGGAGCTGCAAGATTTGAAGGAAGTATTACAGAGATCTCTGCATCTCTTTGCTACTGCTGATAGCTTCACTTCTCACCATCACTTTGGTGCCGATTTGTTCCATCTCCCTTTTCTCATAATTACAAATATGCAATAGTCTGAATGTCTCCGCAAGCTTTCAGAAGGTGTTTTATTATGTACACCTAATCAAACCACACACGCCTAACCAACAGCTTTTAGTTGTCTGTGGAGAACTCAGAAGAAATCATCCTCCATTTACATCACAGTCTTTGAAAATTATCCTTATTTCACAGAACTAGATTATAAAGTATTTTCCTCCCGCACTGGTATAAGGAACATCGTCGCCTGTACTCTTGCAGGTGAAAAGTTCATTTTTTAACACATTCAAGAATGACCTTTGAGAGTTAATTTGCGTATGCTGCCATCGAGACACCTTAATATTGAGTGTTAAGTGCCTTTGCCATTTTCAGTAAATCCAGGAACTCATCCAAGGAAATTACATTCAGGTGCTGGAACAGTTGTGGCACAAAACTGATGGGATCTTTCACCCTATTTCAACAGTTTTTTGTAAATAGATATCAAGCATCTTATTGGAGAATATCTGTTGCTCAGGAACTGACGGGGTACCTGACTTTACTGCTTCTGCTCTGGAGGAGAGGATCGCTCGTGCTACCTCTTTCTTGAGTCCAAAAATCCTTCCCTATATTCCAAAAGAAATAATAATAATAACAGCAACAAAAATAAACCCCCACAAAACCAAAACCATGGAAGAAGTGATACCATTTTGTGGAGGTACTGGTGAAGATGAAATGTGCCTTGGTTTCCAATACAAATAATGCCACTAAATACCAGAATAAATACAGGCTTCTTAGTGGGAATGCAAATATCTTAACACCTTGCAAGGTAAAAGCATAACTTGAGAAGACTCATACATTGAAGCTGGGGAACTGAAAAAAAAAAAAAAAGTCTATACCAAAACATTAGAGCTGTCCCAAAAAACCTGCAATGAGCATTTTAATAAAACCAAATGAAATGTGCTATCACATGATTAGCGATTGGGAGGGGGGAAAACCCAAACAAAACTCAGTAGTTAACACTTAAAGAAGAAAAAAAAGAATATTGTCAGCCCCAGTGGTGTGAATTCAACTGTATTAAAAAAGAAGACAGGATAAAAGTGCAGTAAGCATTAGCAGATTTAGGATATGCTGGACTAATCTAATATCTAAAAAATGAATCAATCATTTCCTTGAAAACAGGAAACTCAATCAAGATGCAATCTGGAATCTGTAAATCATAAATAAATGATATGAGAAAGTAATCTTAAAATGAGATAGAAACTTTCCACCAAAATACAGTATGATGTTGCAAACATGGATCAACTGAGCCAGAAAAAAAACCCCAGCCTTGAAAATGACATACTAGAAGCCACATGAAATTAAATCATATTAAATGCAAGATTCCTGTACATAGGGTCTGATACAAGTTTCTTTCATGTACTCAGGGCTTGTCATCTGGGAGCATAGTCATTCAGTGGTCAACTATAAGCTGATGCAGCTTTGCAGTGGTGGGAGGGAAGAGGGAGGGAACAAATGCACATCAAGGATTTCTCTGCAATAGAGATGGGGAAATATGAACATTGTTGCACATCAACAACAACTTGTCTGGAATACAACACACAATTCTGAATTCCTGTTTTCAAGAAAAACAAGTTCTAATTACAAGAACTACAGAAAAGACCAAAGAGCCTGCTGTATAAAAGAAAAATTAGCCTTGCTTACTCAGTTTAGCAAAATAAAACTAGAATGAAGACAGACAAAAGAATCCATTAAAAAGATAAACAAAGAAGGAGAAGTATGCCAATGTTATTCCTCAGTTTAAGTCCAACAAAAGAACATACACTAAAAAAAGAATAAAATTTACACTGTTATTCCAGAATCCAAGTTTGGTTCCAAATATAGAACAAAACTAACATTCTATTGCCAAAAGTAAAAGACGCAGAAAGCCTACCTGCTTTTAAGAACAAGACGTAATACATTCCATTATGATGCATTTGACATGTAAGCAAGGGATACACTTTGGTTTCACTCAGTTTCTATTCTGGTATCATGGAGTCAATGCAACAAAAGAGAAGAGACGGAAAGAAAAACAAGAAACCTGGGAAACATGAAAAACCTAAAAAAACCCACCCCAAACCAATAATAACCTGTTAGCATCTACTGATTCCTCTTCTGGCTCAAGAAGTGTTCAGTGTGTCATGACACTTTAGAAGATACTGCAGTTCAAAATTATTGTTTTATGAAAAGCATCTTCTTGCCAAAAGCTACACTCAAGTCATACAAGACAGTATTAACATGATCTTGTACAAGCCACAGCTCATTTTTAGTCAACTCTCTTATTGGTTCCTAAGTTTACAGAAGAATAAGTGGGATAGCAGAAGTAACACACCAAAAAACTGGCACAGAAAATATGCAAGATTTATTTATTTTTGGACAGAACCTTGATTTGCTATTTAAGAGGAGGTAAAATTCCCAGTCACACCCAAGTTACTGCTCGTGTGCATAGTAAAAATAGTGTGGAGGGAAATCTGCTGCAGAAAAATATGTATTGAAAATTGCATGGCCTTAAGTGCTAATTAGTAGGTTAGCAACAGAAAAGTCAAGTGACCTGGTATGCTCTCTTACCAGAAATTCTTTTCCTACAGTGTATTTTTCAATGCACTATTCATTGAAAAGCATGTCACTATTTCCTTCTGCATAATGAAAACAACAGAAATGACAACATTTTTTCCAAGACAACATGAAGAAAGAGACTTGGTGAGATTTCTCTAACTACCTGTATTTTAATTACTTTTCCACATTCCATAGCTGCCCCTGTCTGACTTCACCAAGACTACACCAGTAGGGAAGAGAACAATCCAAGTTTCCTGAACACTCAAGCATTTGCCTTTTTTTATTATGTATTGCTGATCCGACTATTTCAGACTCCTGCAAAGAACCACTGATTTTTGTTGAAGTACATTCATAATTCCATCTCCCCTTCAAGAAGCTTATGTGGTATTACCAATTAGTTAGCTCAGCTCCCCGCCTTTCATCTCAAAAATGCACACATACTAGGTACTATTGTTCTCCTGCCTAGCTTCCTGGAAAAAAAACTGGTGAGCAAAATTTGCATCTGTTAAGAGGAAGATTGCCACGTTTTAGTAAGTAAGGGAGAATAAGACAACTAGAACCGGTCTATCTAGCACAGAAACTTTCCAACCACTCAAAAAAAGGAAGCTCTTGCTGTAGAAAACAAAGTTCTCAGTAGACACTAAAGAACTGAAAATTTTCACAAGTTGCTAGAATATTTACACCTACGAGACAAAATTTAGCAAAGTATCATAAAACATGGTAATTAACCCACACAAGGCATGTATTCTTATTAGCCTACTTCAACATCTTATTCTCCTTTACAACTCTAAGAAATACTATTGTATGGTGAGTTTAGTTTGATCTCTTTCCTGCTTCTCTTGAGCACTGAATGCAAGACAAAAAAACCAAAACATGTCCACGACCCTCCCACCTCATTCCCAAAGCTGTGTGCTCATTCTCAAAGCTTCCCAGAATTATAATTTCCTTGTACATCCTGTATATGTGTCGAC